TGTAGATGGTATCTAATGAGGAAAAATGCTGTGACTCAAAAGAACATACTTCTTACTCTGTGCCAGAATCTGAATTGTGATGATGCATGCACTGTGCTGGGTCATGAAGATGACATGTCTGCAAAGCTGGCTGGGAATGTATATGGGACACCTCTCTGAGTGTCAGGGCTCTGAGCAGCTCAGAAAATTTCTGATCTCAATGCAAATACTTCTATTTCGATACCAAAGATTAGAATTTCTTTGGAAGCTATTAACTTGAGCAGCTTCCACCCCATCACTATTCTTCATTTATCTGCTTCCTCTATGCCAAGCTTATCATCATTGACGGTTTCTGATTTATGATGACTTATGATTTTTCAACTTTATGATGCTACAACAGTTGTACACATTCAGTACAAAACACACCTTGAATTTTGAGTTTTGATCTTTCCTCTGGCTAGTGATAAGTGGCAGGATATTCTCTGGACGCTGAGCAGTGGCAGCAAACCGCAGCTCACAGCCAGCCACATGATCTCCCTGTGTCTCAGTTCCAGCCCAACTCAGTCATGATCACTGGCAGTATAGCCAGCCCAGGGTCCCATCCAATGAGCTATTCCAGAGACCTAGAGGAAGCCAGATCCATCAGCACACTTGGTAATGGGTCCGTAGTCTGTGAACATCACGGGGACCATTATCTCAGCACCTGCCCCACAGATCAAACTCCTAGAGACAGAACAATCCCCTCGGGCACAAGATAGCACCTGTACCCCTAGAGACCCTGGAAATAGGCCTGCCAACTATGGTCTGCTGTCACCACATGACCTGGATCACACCCCACTCAATTGTGATCCCATGGGCGAGTCCGTTAGCCCAGAGACTAAAGGGAAAGCTGTACTTGCAGAAAACAATCTTTAAAGACTGAGAGAAGGGCATGCTCCTTCAAATGCACAGAAACCAATGCAAGGCTACATGCATAATGAAAAATCACACAACCATGAGACCACCAAAAGAAACTCAAAACTCCAATCACTGACTACAAAGAAATGGAAATAAACAAATTAACCAAAAAAGAAAGAATTCAAAATAAATATCTTAAAGAAGCTCAATGAAGTGCAAGATGACACAGATAAATAACTAAATAAAATCAGGAAAACAATGAATTAACAAAATTAGAAGTTTAATAAAAAAGCTGATATCATAAATAGGAAAAAACACAGAAACCCTGAAGCTGGAGAATATAATGGCAGAACAGAAAAATTCAATAGAGAGTTTCAATAGTAGACTCATCATGCTGCCAGACGGGAACCGAACCATAAAACAGCTGGAATACAGTAGAGGGGACCCTCCACAACACCTGGAAGACAGTAGAGGGGAATCCTGCACAACACTGGCTTAGGCAAGCATTCCATTTCTTATCTCTCCTCTTTCCAACAAAAGGACAGGCAAGGGGGATGCATTGAGCTAAAAAGGTCTGCAGTTTGCAAACCCTATGTCTGATAAGGGCTAACAGACACACAGGGAACTCCAACAACTCAACGGCAAGAGAAATAAACCAACTGAAAAATAAGCAAAGACCCTAAACAGACTGTTCTCAAAAGAAGACATACAAATGGTCAACAGATAGATATGAAAAAAATGTTTATCATCACTAATAATCAGGGACATGCAGAGAAAAATCACAGTGAGATATCACCTCACACGTTGGCTTGGCTGCTATCAGAAAGACAAAACATATTGGTGGGGTGTGGCTGGGCAGGAGCTCTTGTGTGCAGTTTGGTGAATGTAAATTAATATAACCATTATTGAAAACGGTATGGGGGTTCCTCAGAACACTAGAGGTAGAATTGCCATAGGACCCAACAATCCCTCTTCTGGTTATACGTTTATTCACAATAGCTAAGATAGGGAAGCAATCTGAGTGTCCGTCAGCAGATCAAGAAAACGGAGTGAATAAAGATACACAGTTGAAACCTGTTCCCTGTGACATGGATGAATGTACAGACACTATGCTGAATGAAATAAGCCAGACCAAAGACAAATACTGCATGGTCTCATTTATGTGAGGACTCTAAAGAGTTGAACTCACATAAGTAGAGAGTAGAGGCCGGAGCTGGGCAGTGGGTGTGGACAGGGAGAAGGTTGATTCTGACCAAGGGAACAAGGTGGCCTAAGGCTGTAGTGGTCTACTGCACAGAGAGTGACTGTAACAAACAGAAACACACTGTGTATTTCAAATTGTTAAAAGAGTAGGTTTAAAACATTTTTACCACAATAAAATAAGTATGTGGGGTGACAGATATATTAATTGGTCTGATTTAATCAGTCCACACTGTAAATATATGTCAAAGCATTACATTGTTCTCTATAAATACACATAATTACATTTGTTAATTAAAAGTAAAAATGATCTTTAAAAGTATAGAAAACAAGGGCCCACAACTGATGTGTGATACTGGACTGTGAGGAAATCCTCATTGCAAAGCAGGGGACACCAGGTAGTTGTTTTGACAAATCCTGCTGGGGCTATGACATCCATCCATGTGGGAAAGACTTGAAGGCTGACTCCTGCTTTACATGTCAAAACCCAGTTCTAGGGGGAGGCTTGATGGCAAGGTGACCGATAAAATAGTAACCCTCCACAAAAGGACACTCTTCCCTCAAAGAGCAAGCACTGAACAACTCCAGAGAGGTGGGAGAGGCTGAAGCCCACAGGCGTGCTCCTCTTGAGAAGAACGCAAAACTACTTTTTAAAAACACTGGTGTTTTTTAAAATCAATGCTCCATGTAATTCTGGTATTTTTTTCCCCCAAGAACTTAAAAATACCCATTATAGTACTTGATGTTCTAGAATAGTCCCAGCCAGATTCAGTTGAGTCTGTCTGCTAAGTCCTGGCTGGCAGCTTCAAGAACCTGTGCTTCTTGCTGTGATGGGGAGGGGCACTTGAGGAGGGGGTAAGAGGGGAAAGAATTAAAAATGGTGTCTGTTCCTTAGGTGGCCTGAAGACAAAGTAGTTTTCTTAAAGTACTTGGTAGGACTTGAGGCATGAACAGTGATGTTTCTGGAACACGGTGACGGTGGATGCCCTCTCCCACTTCAGCTAGACATCCAGCATGGCCAGATCACAAGGGTCTGGGGCATTTGGTAAGCCAAGGGGCTGGAGGCTGTGTGGCTTCGGAGGAAGCCTTCTCCTGGCCGGCAGGGTCACAGTGGAATATGAAAGGACAATGTTGGATGGGGTGTGCCTTTGCCCTGCCATGATGGGGACAGTGCTGAGAACAGAACTTTTGGATTATTTTTTTTTTTAATTTTTATGTGGTGCTGAGGATCGAACCCAGTGCCTCATGCATGGTAGGTGAGCACTCTACCTCTGAGCCACAACCCAGCCCCTTTTTGGATTATTGACGGAAATTTAACTTCATTTGTATCCAGAGGCTGGTGGGACCGTGAGACATCTGGAGTACTTGATATCAACATGGTTTTCATGGCCCTTTATTTTAAACTGAAGAAAGGGAATTGGGTCATGATATAGAACACCTTTCCTTGTTTTACATGATGAGGAAATGGAATACTGTAAGTCAGTCTGTTTTCTAGATAACCAAAATGGTCTTTTAGATTTGGAATGTTGTAATCTTTCTAATGGAGGAGTGAGGTAAGGGGAAAGAATTAAAAATGGTGTCTGTTCCTTTGGGTTTTTTAATTTAATTTTTTAATTTTTATGGAGGGTCTACCAAAATACACTGTGTGCTGTTTYACTAACTTCATTAGTAAAGGGGAAAAATGATTTTGATCATTCCTGGTGGGTCTCCAGGGACCTGAGGCCAGCCTGGCAGCCCCACCGGATGGTCCTGGACTACCACCTGGAGCCACGCTCTGGCTTTGGCCCTTTTACTCTCTTCCATGGTTGTGAATACATTCTTCTTACTTCTCTTAGGGAGGTGGTTCCTTGGCGTCTACATTACCCTCATCACACTTTTAATTGGACATTTTATCTGCTTTRGATTTAGTAATCATGTGACTCTTGTGAAAATCCTAGTTAAAAAAAAAAGTATAACAAGCAAACAAAAAAATCCAGGGGTTTAGCTTTTTAATTTATTTATTTTTTTTTGGGTGGTGGTGGTGCTGGGGATTGAACCCAAGGCTTTGTACATGTAAGGCAAACACTCTAGCAACTGAGCTATATCCCCAGCCAGGGTTTTAACTTTTGGCAGAGAGTTGGCAGGGTTTGCCTAGGAGTGAAGTACAAATTTTTAAGTTTTTTTTTTTTTTTAATCTACCTGGAAGTGTTTAAACTCAAGTTTTGGGCATAGTGGTACACAACTATAATCCCAGCAACTCAGGAGTCTGAGGCAGGAGGTTTGAAAGTTTGAGATCAGCCTCAGCAACTTAGCAAGACCTTATCTCAAAATAAAAAAATAAAAAAGGATCAGGGATGTAGCCCAGGGTAAAGTGCCCCTGGGTTCAATCCCCAGTAYAAACAACATCAATAACAGCAACAAAACTTGACTTTTGGTCTTGGCTGTACCTCAGATAGAAGCTACTGGATGGGGGACTTCAGAGACACAGTTTTTGGTATACACATAATTGGGATGCTATGAAGAGGGGAAGASATGGTTGGATCTATACACATCACTCCCATCAACATTAGCCTATTCATTTTACAGAAATCGTAGTTAATATTCTGAATTAATTAGATTGTATAATCAGTTTCAAAAGCATAATGCGGTGGTGTATAAAATTTAATAATGCATAAAACTTGTTATGRAAATTTAAAGTTTTAGGGCCTAGATGGAATTCAAACATGAATTTTGTATGAAGAAATGAAACAAAATAGTTTTGTTAGAATAATTTGCTTTATTACAAAGGAAAATGTCTACAGCATCATTTAAATACTGTATCATTCATCACATGCAATACTTCCCAGCAAGCTAATTTGAGGAGGACTCCAGGCTCAATAAATACCCAAAGGGTATATCACCACCACCACCCTCCGCCTGCCTTCCTTTGGAAGATCAGCAGCAAAACCAGATTTCCTAAAAYAAACATTATCATATTCAGAGAAGACTGGAAATCATGAATGATGTGAGCAAYTTCCCTAGGCTATGACAGGAAGCCTGCATATGTAATCTTTGTTKCGAATAAACATCTTCAATTTCTAGTATTATATCATCCAATTCCAGGAAAACATTATCATAATRTGAAATAGATGAGAAAGTAAATAGCAATCAGAACTCTCTGGCAATGACAAGGACTGGACTTTCCCTCTCCTAGGTTGGGGCAGCTGCCTGCGGGAGGYGAGCTAATGCAAGTGGTACTGTGTTGAGATTTCAGTCCTAGCGACTCAGGCAAGTTACCGATTCTCTGAACTTCAGTCCCTCAGACCACCATGCACTGAAATGATCCTTCTGGCCCAAGGATGGCTAAAAGTGAMGTGAAAGTGTTACATTTACCATCTCCTCCCGCTATATTCCCTCTACTAACACCTGYTGGTCCTTCTTCTAGCCATGACGCTTTTCTTGTGCATTTTCTTCATGAGAGGACCGTCAGCCACCCAATCAGAAAGCTAGTGGTGGTCCAAGGGTTCTGTTTACTAGCTCTTATCTACTCCTCACCTGCACTGGTGTAAGTTAGGAGTCAAAGGCACCTGCTCTGAGCTCCCCTGACAGCATGTACTTSGTTCATAGTGTGTACTTCATCCATCCTGGTGACTACCAATAGACTACAATGGTCTTGGGGAGAGGTCTTGTAGTTTTTCTCTCTGGAAATGATATCTCTGGAAAGAGAAGAACAAAAGCCCATAACTAGCCCGCTGCTACTTTTGGTTGGTGCTGCTGGTCCCTCTCCCACAAGCACTGCAATCCCATTTGTCAGAATAGGCAGAGTTCCCCCTTCTGTGTGTTCAGCTCTGTCAAAGGGGAATCAGAGCTCCACTGTCCTCCTGGAAGTGTCAAAGGAGACCTTGTGGACAGGYTGAAATCCATCAGGTGTGCCCCAGTACAGGAACCATCTAGCACGTCCTGACGAAGTACCACAAAACAGAGGTGCCTGTTTTGAGTCACGACACACAAGGTGCTACCTATTTTTAATATCATCCCTGCAACTAGAGCTACTTCTCCATAGGACTCCACAGATGAAGGCTTATGGGACTCTGAGCTGRTAGTTTAGCCTCAGGACAGACATGAAGCTCGAATCCTAGTCACCTATTTTTTTAAGAGACCAAAATGGACTYGGAGGCATGGTCAAGTTGGCAGCACCAGGATCACCTGGAGCAGTTTTTCTCCCAGYACATTCCTCTGGTCTTCAAGAGCACACACTTTCCATTTCTTTCCCTGCCAGATATGTCCAGACATGGCTGGACACTAGTGGTACWCACAGTTCAGGCTCAATCTGGACACACTGATTTGATTACAATGATAGGGGATGGGTACCATGGTTAGTTTGTAGTTTTGGTGAAGTAATAACAGTAGGTATAATTTCTTTTGTATTATAAACTCTATGCTTGTGATTTTACTGATCTCTCTTCATAATGGGCAATTTTTATTTTATATTTTTCTAGGTAGGTTGTTAGTTTCATATAATTCATAATTGTTAGAGTTTCTTGATGCTTCAAGTTTTTTGTTACAATGCATTTTTATTCCTTTTGCCTTTAATTGTTTCTTTTCTGACAATATTACTGAACTAGCTTTTAAAAAAATTTTAATATATATATATATATTCGTAGGTGGACACAATACCTTTATTTATTTATATGTGGTGATGAGGATCAAACCCAGGGCCTCACACATGCTAGACAAGCGCTCTACCGCAGACCACAACCCCAGCCCCTGAAATAGCTTTCTTATTAAGGAAATCATTGATGTTTTCTTCTAGAAGTTTTACTTTTATTTTTCATTTTTAAACCACTGGGAACTAATCCTGGTCTAGATTTTAGATACGAAACCAATTTTAAAATTGGATAAATTGCTTTAATATGAATTGAATATAATTTACTATTTATTCGTATTTAATTTTAATAAAATATTTACTATGTGATAKTAACATTTACACACATTACTTTGAAATATATATTGTTATCCCTGCATACATACATATGTTTTGAACTCTCATTTGCTGTTTCCTAGTTCTGTGGTCACCTCCATTCTACCTCCCAGATCTCAGGATGGAGGTTAGGGGCTYGGGGAGGTGGTTTCACACACTTGCTGTTGCAAGGCTGTGTCTCTGTCCTCCTGCTTGTTCTCCTCTCAACTTCCTGTGAAGCTGCAGCCCCAGGCAGCACTTAGGCAGAGGCTTTACTCAGCCTCTGTTTACAAAGGCTCTTGGGAGTATGCAGTGACACCAGTCACTGTCACAGTGYACCAGGCTATGTTTATAAATACGCCTGTCCACCAAGAGATAACTGGTTGAGTAAACCATGCTGGACACAGGGAATCACACAGAGCCACAGAAAAAGAATGATAAAGATCTCCATGTCTGGATGAGGAGGAATCTCTTGCAGGTACTGTTAAGTGAAAACATAAGATACAAAGCAGTGTGTAAGGTGCACTAGCTTTTTAAGAAAGGGAGCAAAAGGAGAGTCTATATGTAGATGTACATGTATTTTTCTTATTTTGCAAGAAAAAAAATTGCAAGGAGAGGTGTTGGAAGGATACATAACAAGCTAATAAAAAGAATTTCCCAAAGAGGAGAGGAAGTGGGGAACATGAAACATCTCTGTACCATAAAATGTTGCAGTTCTGATTTTTATGTAAGATATATCTATTATGGGGCTGGGATGTAGCTCAGTGGTAGAGTGATTGCCTAGCATATAGAAGGCCCTAGGTTCAACCCCCAGCATCACTACAAAAAAAATGAATCTATTAAAATAAATGAAATTATAGAGAGAACCTACCAATTACAAAAGATGTGTGTGGTGCAGTGTGTGTGTGAAAGTGAAAGAGAAAGAGATGGGGCAGTGACTGGCATCTTTGYGTTCCTTAGTAGCACACCACCTGCTCTGAGCTGCAGAGTAGCAGCCCCAAAGCAACAGACCCGTGCATGGTTTGCATTGGTGTGTTCTGCCTAGCTTATGGAAATTATTATTTCAGACTWCTTCTTTTTAGTTTTCTCTTTATCTATTTTACCCATCATTGCTGTGTATTTGAAGCAGAGGACTATATGGATGTGTGAACYTGTCCTAATGGAAATCACCATTTTAACCTAAATATTGAAAAGCCTTTAAATATCTCTTTTCCTGCATTAAAAAAGCACAAAAAAACCCCACCAGTACACTAAGAATTATTAAMCATTTCCCAGTTGATAGAAAATGTTAGAAGGATATTTCTAAATCTTCTCAGAATAAAATACAATATTTCATAGAATTAAAGATATCACTGGTTATAAGATCTTCAATTATTTTATTTACTATTAAAAATACTGCCAAATAGACTATGTCAATTACCTTCTTGTACAATACATGTTTATTTCAGATATCAAAATATGAGAAAAGTGCATCTTAGAGTAKATAAAATATAGGATTATAGATGCTGCTTGAAAGATTATAAGGTTGAATTAAATGTATATTGATTTTAGAATATTASAAAAATCCAAAGAAAATGTTGTGCCTAGAGCAATGCCAGGTACAGGTGACTGATGCTTGTGGATAAATGGAGACTTTTACATGGCATTGGATGGTCACTATAATACAGATGGAAGAATGCAAGAAGGTCTGTTTTAAAAGAGATACTAAGCATAGACTATGTCCAGGCCCTGTACTATAATATTAAAGATAGACATTTTTTAAAATAATGAGATTAGAACCCAGTCCTTGCATGGTTTATACCCTAGTAAGAGAGAGAAATGTACCATCATCTGACAATCAGAGAAAGAGAGAAGACTAACGCTGCAGATTTAGGAGTCACCTTCAGAGAGAGAAGCTAACAACAAATAAGCTTGTCAGCCCCATGAACAGAGGGGCAAGAACAGGTCCCTGGAGAGTACTATGTTAGATGGGAAGAAGAGGATCCAGTGAGGAAAATCAAGAAGTGGTTAGAGAGATAAGAGGAGAG